ATGAAAACGTTCAGTCTGAGAGACTCGCAGACCCAAACTCATCCTCTCGAACAGGTAGAAGTCCTTGTGTCTGTTGCTTGTCTGCCGGATTAGAGTTAGAAAAAGGATCGATCTCAACAACAGCTACAACAAGGATGTCTCGCTCTCTGTCTCGCCATCTCTTTGGAAACCCCTTACGTTACATTCATTCAAGCGGAAGTAACAGCTGCGTCTTGGATCCAATCCATGTAAGGAGAATACTTGGCAATTATTGAGACGCAGCGCAGCTGTAAAAGTCCCCAAAAGCCGTATCAAAAAACAAAAAAAATAAACAAAATATCCCATCGAAAGCTTCGCTCCCACACAAAAAGCTCTGCGCTTCACTCTACCGTCCTCTCTTCGGCCATACAATGCAGAGCAGCTCTGCGTCCAAGCTTCATCTCTGCAGCGCAGCTCTGCGCCCAAGCCTCGTCTCTGCTCTGATTTTGTGCACTCAAAGAAGTCAGAACCAAGAAAATCAAGAATGAATGACTCTAAAAAGAATGAATTATAAGCCGACAGTATCTGAGTTTCCATCTCCATTTAGATAGTCAATCTAACTACTATTTTATTGAAAATACTCGTGGCCTACATTCTTTTCTCTGAGTGTACGCTCTTCTCTTTCCAGATGCAATGCATCTCTGCGCTGCTCCAACTCCTTCTTCTTCTGCTTCTTCTTCTCGTTTCGGCTGCTGTCGTTGTCGCACCTGTCGCACAATTTATTTTGCGCCCAAGAAGTAAAAAGCCCAAAAAAGCAAAGCAAAAACCACCAAAAAAATACAAGAAAAGCTACAAAATAAAAAAAAACAGTTGTGCAACGCATATCCGTTTGTCTTTAGCTTCCTTTTCGTATAAAAAAGAAGCAGCTGCCATTCGAAAACATCAAGATATTTTAACGTACAGCAGATTCTGCAGCAGCCGATGCTCTTCTTTCTTCCCAGCAAAAGTTTATCTCTTTTCCAGCAGCGCCTCTCCTCTCTGTCTTTCACTGCTTGTAATTTGCAATCGTTCACATGCTGTTCTTGTCTGATTTTATTTGCTCTGATACGCGAGTCGCGCTCTCTTGCGGTCATAAAGTTTATCTGCTCCAGCCTCGCTGCCCCCGCTCAGGCTTTGAATGGCCAAAGAGGGAAAGGGGGAAGGGAACAGAAATTGCCCAAAAAATGCACAGCAAAAATGTCCTCCTCTTTGATGAGAAACAAAAGGTTCACAGGCGCGTCTCGGGGATATCTTGGGTTGTAGATCAATGTCACATTTATGTTTTGATTTCAGATTTATAACTTTATTAAAAATATTCATATGAATGCAATTCATGCAACAATACGTACGAGTATAACCATGCTATTGACACATTTGAGTTACAGCTAACGAGGGGATGCTGCTTATAATGGAAAGGGATATTACAACGGAAATAAAAGGGTATAGATTGCAGCTGAAGAAAAAAACCTTTAAGCCAGCCCAATGACCTTTTGGATTTAAGATTCCATTTCAGAACGGATAAGATAGAGTGGTAGCTAGTAGATACATAGATAACTGCATATCGATATATAATAAAATGGTGTTCCGATTTTGGTCCAAAACGTTTGATTTATGTAGCTAAGTTGATCCATAAGAAGCGACTAAAGCCATGATCCATTCCTATTACGAACAGCAAAGGAACGAAATCTATATTTAGGTGGGGGATTAGATAGGGATTAAGTAAGATCTGGATAGACCTTGCCAGATCTACCAGAGAAATTAGTTCTACTTAACTTGATAAATATTTGTTCTTTAAGCTAAACGATAAAAAAACAACACCCTAAACATTAAATTCAGTTTCACTTTTAAAAAAATTTCCCACTCCATATAAAAATATTGAGTGATGATTCAGATCATACCTCCTTTTTTTTTGCGACCCATACTTAACCTTAACCCCCCTGGTCATGGTGCATTCAGGGTGCATGGAAAATAAATTGCTTAGAAAACATAAACAAATTACAACAAATTAATAAAGCTGTTCCACGGTTACGTAATGGCCCTGAAGGGTAAATATAGTGGCAACACCAAGGGAAGGGAGGGATGGAAGGATGGCTGGGTGGACGGTGGCATGTAAACGATAATGTAATAGGGCATCCCGAACGAATTTCGGGCGAATTCCTATATTCTCCCTTTTGGCAGGCACTCGTCAGGGTCCATGCTTCGGGAGGAATATGGGTGTGAAGACATTCGGCGAGATTAGACAATTTGGTATGGTTCGTTAGGAGGTTTGCGCTTGCTTGGCTTTGGCTCTGGCCAAAACGGGGAAAAAAATCAAAACATAATTTCCAACGCTTCCAAGGAGGAGGGTAGGATAGGGCAGGGGAGGCCAGGCGCAACAACAGAAGCAGTAGAGTCTTTGTACCGTTACCGGTTCTCAAAGACGGATCGGAACGGTGGTAAACTAGTTTCGCCGCTGGATGCTTAACCTTCGGTGCCTGCCGAAGCCTCAGCCTCTACTACCTCAGGCCCCTGCTCAAAGACCAGACAATAACATTCATTAGAAAGGAGAGAAACAGAGAGAGAGACAGAAATACAGAGAGAAACACAGACGGAGAATGAGAATATGCGTAAGGCGTCGCAAGGATCACAAAAGATCTCTAAGTAGGTACAGCTGCGTCTTAAACTTTAAGCTTGATCAGGCAGGGGTGTGTGCTGCCAGAAGGAGTATTCAATTGGCAGCTGTTATCCTGCGGCGCATCCTTTGTAATTAACAAAACAGTGAGAACAGGACAGAGAGAGAAAGAGCCTCGGGCACGGGCTAAACCCATTAAAAGTCTTCACGAACTTCGGCCTGCTGTTTTGTACAGTTGCCCTCAGGAACAGACAGTCACAGTCGGACGCCAGTCGTCCTCTCAACCTGTCTCTGTTGGGCATCACCTGCCATCGCCATCGTCATCGCCAACTGTCTGTAGGTCTTTTAATGTGTTTAATGATGCCTCTGCTATGCTAAATTGAGGACCGGCCCCCGACTCCGATTCCGTCTTGATGTCTGTCCGCACACATGTCTCGTGCTGCATCGATTGTCCTGATGCGATATGCGGGTCGCGTCTTGCACCTCCGATCTGATCTCTCTAGCCACGCGCCCCAACTTTCCTTCTGACTCTCCACGATCCATCCAGGGCCCTGCGCACCTGCTCAGTCGACTGATACAAAATGTGGGCCGCCCTAATGGAGTTGTCCCCGGGCCCAAGGTTCGCAACTTTTACCACAGCCACAGCAAGCTCTGGGCGATCATTAGTTGAGTCTGAACTCAACCTACTGGACAACATTTTTTCGAACTTAACATAATATTTTATTTTAGTTTTTGGCTGGCTTTTTTCGGCACTTTTGTGGATATTTTAGTCATTTGAGAAGGATACAAAAGATAAAGTCGTTGGATAATCCGTTTGGAAAGACTCTAAATGGAATTGGAACTTAATTGAAAGACGATCTTTAATCGAAACAACATAGGGAAATTTCTTCATACGATCAGCTACAAATATAAGTTTGTCTGTAAAGTTTTGTTTATCATTATCTCATTTTAATCTGTTTTTGTTTTCTTTATATACTATATATAGTATTTGCTGAGATAAGTAATATACTGAGATTCCTTTTTTGATATTTTTAAATATATTATATGTAAGTAGGTTTCTCTCTTTCTCTCTATGTTTTTTCCATCTGCATGACAAGTGCGAACAAAATCGGGAGATATGTACATCATGGAATGACTACGAGTATGATACCAATTCCGGCGCTTATTTATAATTACGTATATTAGTTTTTTAATGGAACCTAGTTAAGTTTATATGTATATTCTTATCAGCATCAATAGCCTGTCCCAGTCAATATAGTCCATGGCACGGCTATAAGAGCTAGAGCAACCAAATTTTGTATCTTGACTCCTGTGATACTACACTGTTAAAAGTAAATTTCAAAAGTTTACCTCGCCCCCTTCCGGCCTCACAAAAGAGAGAATGGCATCCACAATTTTGAAGATACAGGAAAATCGAAAATGCAGAATCACAGAAAACTACCATAGCTACTAGATTACCGAAGATGGAGCAGATCGGATCATTATTATAGCCACAAGGAACATAGCATAGCCTACTCATTCTCATCAACATATTGACAGAGTTTGAGTAAAAATGTAGAAACGCGGCCCTTGCCGCGGCTCACAACGTTCCCGCTCGTTATGCTAATAGATTTGCGTATAAGTTTAGATTTGATGATACTATCTCCCCCTCTTAAATCCAATTTCTATATCCATATCCATATCTTTATGTTTATTGACTCGCACTACGTTATTCCAGAATCGTTTATAACTACCAATACTCAAATCCTTTTTATGCCAAGAGGAATTTGTAGTATACGCTTCGATACTATGATATAATGTGATATCTCCATCCCTATCTAAATCTCCATCCTAACAAAACTGAAACTCCTGTTTTTCCACAGCCTCCCATTCCAGAACATTTCTCTTGGAATGTTTCCCATTTCCATTGGTCTACGTGCGGCCCTGAGAGGGTATTATACGCTTCGGCGCATGCGCATTCGGAGAGGAGCAAAAAAAGAAACCCCTATATATGCAGCTAAAACGAAAGATCGAGTCGCTCTTTGTCGCTTTGACGCTTTGCAGCTGTAGTTGTAGCTGCAGCCGCTGCCGCTGCCTGTTCTCTGCTTGTGTTTGCCTGTGTCGCTGTCGCTTTCGGCAGGAGTTGTTTTTGTGTGTTTTGTGGCTGTGCGGCTTACGAGCCAAGTCGCCGTCGCGGACGAATCAATTGCGCGCAAACCATCGACGGCAACGGTTCTTGTCGTTCCGTAGTGACCAAGCTCTGAAGTTCTGTTACTTTCTGTGTTCCTGGAGGAGATCTCTTCTCTGGGCACAAGTCGAATATCGTTGTTTTTCAATTTTTGTACAAATGTTTTAAAAGTTTAAGCCAAAGCAAAGCGATTCGTGTGGTAAGGCACTGTTAAACTGTTAAATGTTGTGTTTGTGCCGCGTCTTTCTATATTTTGATAACTGTAGAACAGAACCGTTAGAACAAAGTGCCCTTTCGCCCTCCTTCAAAAAAGGGAAAAATCTGTAATCTGTGTAAAAGTGCCAAGAGACAAGACAAGTAAAAGGAGCAAAGCAAAAGAGATAGATCTAAGAATGTGCCAAAAACAACAATTTGAGTGCTTAGCGCTCTGGGTGCGCCGGCGCGGCGGTGATGATCTTGAACTCGGCTCAACTCCCCAGTGCGCAGGCGCAGGCAGCCTAACGGTGCATCGGCAAGTGCAGTTGCTTTTGCAAAGAGTGAGAGGGGACGAGAGAGAGAGAGAAGAATGGCAAAGGCAGCGCCATTGCATTTCTTTTGATTGCTTGTGTATCATCTTTGGGGATCTCTCTCATCCGCCTCCGCCTCCACCGCCTTCGCTTTGGCGCAAAAAAAGTTTTTCGTCGCCGCCGAAATGGCTTTTCGCTCATTTTTTGGCGCTGGAACTCTGAAGATCGCGCGCTGATGGCTGATGCGCTTTGCTGTTGCCGAGTGCACTCCCAAAAGGTAATCCTATGCTTGAGTTATAAAAGTGCCGTTAGCTTTTTTATGTTTAACCGTTTGGCGTTTTGGGTGCAGCCTAATGAAGAGAAGATTCTCCTCTCTCCGATGAGAAGTCTCCAAAAGACAGACACACACACATACACAAAAATAATTACAGCTAATGTCCAAAGTGCATCTGGAGAGAATTTATATTGGAATGAAGAATGGTGTATTTGGATGAGGTTTTGCAGTGGAACACTCTCACTCTTTTTGGCGATTTCCCACCTTCGTTGGAAGTGACGTAATGAATCAATATTGCAGACAATTTGCAGTAAAAGACCATTACGACGCAAAAGATGACATTGTTGCTGCAAACATTTCTGTGTGCTGTCCCCCAACGAAGCAGGGGGGACCGCTGTCGGCCTTTGATTTATTTACATGTGCTTTTCGGAGGAGAGCACAAAGAGAAACATTTCTTTGTCTCGCTCAAACAAACACTCTGACTCATGCTCTCCCGCTCCTGCTTGGTCTCCAAGTCTCCCCCTCTCTCTCTCGCACGGTAGCTTCAAGAAGTAACGGGAAAACAGCAAAAGCAGCGTCATCCTTCCCCTCCATCTCCACCTCCATCATCACGTGTTGCCCAGCTCTCTTTCCATTTATTTTTCGCTGCCATGCCGCCATGTCAGCGCCTTCATTATAATAATTTTTATTGCTTTTGCATAAATCAAAAATCATTAAACATAAAAAAAATGAAATCGTTAAAAGACGAAGAACCAAAAAGAGTATGAGAAAAAAGTTCTCAAAACGCACCTTTTTGGATGTCTGCACTAATTTCGCATAATGCTGTTGTTGCTCTCTGATCCTTCTTTTCTTTCTGCTCTTTTTTTCTCTCGCATTTCCGTTACTGTTGCTTTTGCCGAAGAGAGGGTGTGGGAGGGAGAGAGGGAGAGGAGAGCGCAGCCATGTCTGCGGTTTGCATACAAATTCATTAGTGACGGCTGCCTGCCAATTCCCGCTCCCGCTCTCCATCCTCTTGCAGTCTCCAGCGTTGCCTCCCACACAGCAATTTCTGGGAATTTTACTGCACCTTTCCAGGAGGGGAGGGGGGGCTGGAAAGCTTTGCAAGGAAGAGGAACTCACACGGCGCTGACTGACCCTCTCTCTCTATGCAACTGTTTCATTGGAATTATGCTCCAGCTTTTGGCGACTTTCCTTTTGTTGCATTTGCTATAATCGTACATAGGTAGGTAGCGGGACGGTACTGTTACAATTGTGGACAACTTTTATGACAGATAACAGCTCTACCTAACTGTTGAGTTCTACATTTGGCAAAGCTCTTCATAAAACTATAAGATGAGGAAGATGGCGAAGAGGAATGAGAATATCACAGCAGCTGTGTGTGAAAGTGAAATAAACGGATTTTTGGAAATATATCAAATGGTATTTAGTATTTAGTGCCATTTTGAAATTTGTATTCAATCTTGAACAACACTCCCCTTCCGTAGTTCTGCGATACTTTTGTGGCCGATAAAGCTTTTAATTCAATTATCTCATATCCATATCAAAACTGTCTCCATCTTTGATTTATTACAACACTCATTTCCCATAGATTCCTCCATAACCTCTATACCTCCCCGCCCTTAGCAACACGTACTTCTCCCACATAAATCTCGAAACCGAAACGAAACGCAACTTTTTGTACCACTTTCGACTTCTACGAAAAAAGAAACACACACACACACACACGCACAAAACGAGCTTCAAATTGTTTCTTTTTCTGCTCCTCATCTTTTTCGGTTGTTGTTTTTGGAATGATTACTGTAACCAAAAATGTGACCTGATACTCCATCCAATATCCGCCCCTTCCCCCTTCACCCTCTCAGTCCTCTTATGACAATTTGGTCACTAATTTTAGGGGCACTCTGCTCTGAATCTCTGGATCTCTGTGGATCTTTCGGCCTGAACCAAATACAGTTGTCGGTACAATTTTATTGATCTTTTTTCTGCACAGAAATATAAAATTGTTTCATGGTCGATTGTTGTTGCTGTTGCTGTTGCTCTTTCGGTTTCTGCAGCTGTCGACGAAATCGAATTCGAAACTCGTGCGTGTATGTGTGTGAAGTGGAGCTGTAGCTTGGAGTTGGAGGAGATCCCAGCCAGAAGATCCCTGAAGAGGGACGCCAAGACTCCAGACGATAACAACAACAACAACAGTAAATACTTGGTTTAGGCAGAGGCCCCGAAATAGCCACTGTCCATGGGTCCCAAAGGGCAGCCCGAAAAATATTTTTATCTTGATATAAATACCCTTTCCATTTCGGTGGGGTATTGAAATGTGGGATATATACATATACGCAACGAAAATTATAAATCAGGCCGATCCTTGATCAAAGTTAGGTTCTAAGGAGAAGATTTTAGACAAATATTTATTTAACTTCAGTTTTATTAAAATTAAAGACCCAATACTACTAAATTAGCTGAAAGGGCATGTGAAATTCGGTGTTTCGTTTCGTTTCGACTGCATATTTGTTGTTTCTCCTGTTCTAAATACGCCAAAAGTTGCTTTTGGGGCATAAATATATGTCTTTAGTGGCGGTGTGGCATGTCTGGTTGCGTTTTCGGAACTTGGTAAATGGGGCAAAAGGCAGGCGGCAGACGAATATCTTTTGGTGGAGTGGTTCGGAGTTGGGAGTCGGGAGTCGGGAGTCTGGGCCAGAATTCATGGAATTAGTTAACGATTAATGATTGGATATTGATTTCGGTTTGTGGCTCTCTATCTCTCTCTCTGACGTTGAAGATTGCTTTGAAATATCTTCCTCACTGGTATATTCGCTCTCTTCGCATATCGCGCTTCGCTTTTACTACTCATTAATTTCATTTAACTATCCAGAGACATTAAAAAAAAAGTAAGGCTGGAAGAAGCGCAAATGAAGTTCCTGCTGGCGCAACATCTTCCTTTTGGTTTGTGGCACATCTTTCTCCGTTCAGGCATTTTTACATAGTTTTAGTTTTCGCGTTGATGCTTGTCTTAGTTGCGCTGCCAGCTTTCTTTTTGAGTGTTGAGAGATTCTCTTCCTTATAGCGTTGCTAACTGCTTTACGATCTGAACGGACATAAAAGTCCAAAAAGCATGGAAGATACCGCTCTGGACAGACAGCATCTCTCGGTTCTTCGTTCAGGTAGTATATTCTTTGCTGTTTTTTTTTTCTTTCTTAATTTCGTTTCCCGCTTCTGGGAAACTTAATTTGTGTGGATGCTCCTTGCCGCCATATCAAATTGGCGCTATCGAATACCTAACACGGCAGAATACCTAACGTAAATACATGCTATGCTTTCTGTCTCTATATATGAGAATATGGTAGGTACATATATACATATGTAGGTGTGGACAATGAATGCCCCATATAAAACTATGAAGCAGAAGCAAAAGAATCAGCTTAAAATCTGCTTAGCTCTGTACATTTTTTATTTGCTGCGAAATTTGAGGCTTAAATTCTTCAACAAGATTCCAGGTTCCACATTTGGAGCATAGCACCCCCCCCCCCCCCCCCAAACATTTGGGTACACATTTGCGTAGAAAAAACTATTTTAATTTGTGTGAGAACTCTGCTCCGTTGGTTTTTGAGCATGGTATTGGTGGGTTAGGGGTTCTTAAGATGGCGCATATTTAACGATAATCATTAGCCTTCCTCAGTGGCTCCTTGGCAACAAATTCGAGCGGGGCACGGCTCTGCTCGGTTCTGTTCCCCCAGATTGTGTGCCAATGAAGTAATTGAGCTGTTGGCTGGCCTGGCCTGGTCTGTCTGTCTGTCTGTCTGTCTGTCTGCCTTCCTGCCTGACTTCTTGGCCACTAACGAGATTACAGCACGTTTTCAAACTATTTGGGCAATTAAAAGAGGCAGCGTAATGGCATAATGTAGTTAGCGGAATACTTGCGAGAACACTTTGTAGAAAGCATAATAAAAGATGCATTTCCTATGTAGAATTTAACTATGCAAATAGAAAAAACATTAGGCTTCTAGGTTAAGTTTTTTAGTAGGAAGCTTTAAAGTATCTTTTCAAACCAAATAATATATCCCTATAAATTTCGACTATAATTCGACTATAGTGGGAATAAATCATTCCTATGGTTTTACGACAGTGATGTACAGAAATCGAATCACTTAACGGATCGGTTTGGAAATGATCTTCTAAAAAAACTAAATTAAATTGTGTTGCTGCAAACTACAATTATCCAGGGACCTGTACGAGTACTCCCCAATCAAAAATGTTTTCCCATTGTGCATACTCTCCTATATGATGCTCCACTTAAGCACACTTCCACAGAGACCGTTCGAAATAAATTTGTGTAATTTCTGGCCATCTACACCTGCAGACTGGGGACTGACAGAGGAGGAGTACATTGTTGGGTATGGAGGAGTACGGAGGGGCAATCAATTGGAGTACTCGAAGTACGAACTGAAACCACAATAAACGATGCGCTGATGGACGACCATTTGGTTTGATGATTGCAGCCACGGCCCATATTATGCCATAACAATATCAAAGCCAAATGAGTGGTCGTCAGACAGGTACACAAGGCAGTACAAGACTATATGGGGGTTGTCGGCCAGAATGGTTTTCTGGGCATTGCAGGAGACGGATGGAGACGGTAGTCCAAGGCACAACATAACTTGTGTGGGGTTCTCTCTTTTGTGCGCCACCAACTCATATTAAAACACCGTTATGCATATCACAGGGGAAAGGAGAGGTGGAAGGGGAGCGGGGATAAGAGATCCCGATCCCCACATATCGAATGGAGATTGAGATTGAGATTGGTGTGGCCATGGCGTAACCCTTTAATTATGCCACTCATACAATAGGAAGAGAAAGAGTGCGAGAGAGATCGTTCCTCTCAACGTCAACGCCTTTCGAATGGCACTCTTTTCTGTGGGGCTCTGTGGGGCTCTGTGGGGACCTGCTGCTGCACTCCACTCCTCTATGCTACTTTCTAAAAAACTGTCCAGGAATATAAATTGCAGCCACGTTTCGTTCTCGGTCCCCTCCCAAAGTGTGTGGCGGCTGTCTCTTGGCAAAAAACAAAAGTCAAAAATTCTATCCAAATGCAATGCAACTTTAGCACTCAGCCTCTCTCGGCTTTGGCTCTGCATCTTAATTGCATTTCGATTACGTTAGCATTGGACCAAACACCAAAACGTAGAAAAAGAAAATACAAAGAAAACTGTGCTCTTCGGAAGTAGAAACAGGAATACCCTTGCGAAATATATATGGCCCGGTATATCTTTATGCCCGATGGAGGAGATGGAGATGGAATCGATGGAAGAATCAGAATAAAGTTAGGCTTAGACCCCTTCCAATGGAATTTTCTTCAAAAGTATATAATGTTTTCATATAGAAAAATCCATAAACAACGACCGATATACGGATATTTTAGCCCAATTTCTATAGCATTTGCGATTTATGTTGTAGAACTTTTATCGATTCGATAGAAAGATGTGCATATTTAACAGCTTCAAAGTACTGGAATATATCCGAATACTTGATTTTGAAACACCACAAAGTGGCTCCTTATCTTCCCGCTTCTGAGATCTACTGTGTCGCACCGTTCTAGTGACAATTGGTGGACCCTCTGGCACAGGGTATAGAAATCACAAAAAGCATAAAAGCAAATCAAATCAAAAATGCTCAGGCGGCAGTATGTTAGCAACAAGTTGCCAGCAACATGCTAGAGCCTCCACCAGGCCCCCAGCAGCAGGCAGCAGCAGCAGGCAGCAGCAGAAGAGGAGCAGGCAGCGTCGTCTGGCAGACAAGGCGACTGCAGGGAGGAGGCTGGAAAATAGACAACAGATGAGACAGCCAGGCACGGCCCAAGCTTCAGCTGTGGAACGCCTTTTATGTGCTATGGTACGGGATGATGGGTTGGCCAAAAGGAAACTGGTTTTTCGCCAAGGCAAAGGCGAAGGAAGGCTCCGAGGCTGAGGCTAGAAATTGTAACAGCCACGCGAGAGAGGTTCTCAGGCAGGCAGCAGAGACCTTTCTACAAGAGTCTGGTGCTGTGGTGCCTGGTCCCCAAATGGTCTGCTGGTCCTAGGCACTGGCCATTTAATACAGTTATTCTCTGTTCTCTATTCTCTCGATCTGTGGGCAAACAGGGCAACAAGTACATCAGGCAGGCAATACAACAATAGGAAATGCAAACTGTTTTTGGCTGGAAGTCATGGACATGAGACCATTCCCGTTCACTTATCCCTCGGCCTCCACTCCATCCATAGTATAGTCGTGGGCACTGCTCTCAGCTCTGTTCTGCTCTCTCTCTCTCTCTCTCTGTCGATGCTGCAAGGCCTGGCTCTGGCTCTACCTATGCCTTGGCAGTCATTAAAAATGATTCTACTCAAACTAGAACAGACCAGCAGCAGGCAAAGGAAAAGGCCGTGCGAGGAGGAGTGTAGTGTGGACCCGGGCCATCATAAATGCTACAGGAGAAAGGCCAACAGACCGCACTGTGAATGCCCTTAATGAACATTACATATTTTATGGCCTGATGGCAAGGTGAAAAATGGCAGAAAGATTAATGGAAAAGTCACAGAGAGAGGGAGAGAGATGGTGATCGTAGATCAAGCAGAGACAGACAAAAAATGATTATTACCATCCACAAAGGAAAAAGATGATCATACTATGATCTACGGAGTTAGCTGCCGTTTTTTTTAATACCATCAAATGTGTAAACACTGGTTGAAAAAACCCCGCATTGGCTGTCTAAAAAGATTTTTGCTTGAAAAGGTGCAAACACTGACTTTCCAGCATTTGTATCACATGATATTTGTACTTGTGTACGCACTGCTTGGAAGACAACCGTATTTACAGAATTAATTTATTGTGAATACACTGCCTAAGAAATAACAGTATTTATAAAATTCATTTATTGTGTACTCAGTCAAAGTCTCGAAAAACGCACAAAATCTGATTTTTCCCACTCCAACTTTTTAAAGTTCTTTGAACCCGAAATTTCAATGCCATTCTGTAGAACACTCAAGGAACAATTTCTCAAAAATATAATGCACGAATAATTTCGAATCGGTTATCAAAAAAGTAGTTGCAGAATACACTCTACCCCTAGCTCTCCCTCTCTCTATCACTTCGTAGACTCTGCCACGACTTTATTCCTTTGGGGTTTATTATGTCGGATCTGGAGAAGGCGATATCGAAGTGTGTTACTGCCTGGCTTGCCTTGTCAGCTGTTGGCTTAAGCTAATATTATTACATGATATTGTGCACCACACCACACTACACAGCGCCACAGAGCGCACCACTCTGGTCTCTCTGCTCCACTTCAGACTTTAGATGCGATCCGATCCGCTCCACCCCTTTTTCAAGTCTCCATTCCATTCCTGGGCAGCTTTTTCAATGAATTATTAGTTATTTGAAATTTATGTGCCGTTCTTGTTTCTTTTTTTTCTCTACACTCTTTATGGTTCTTTTCTTTTTATCGCTCGTCTATTTGCGTTTCCGCTTTCCGTTCGCTTGGGTTTCGTGTTGGGGTTCTTTGGGACGACGGCTGCTTATTCCTTTCATTTGCTCAATGAGAAGCCCCGTCAAAAAGTCTTGGAGCCACGGAGCCTCTCTACATGTCGTTGGGGGCGTATTTGCCTAACGAAAATAAATAATAAATATGAATTTATTGCAGAGTTTGTTCGTTTTTCGGTGCCCAGTGTGTGTGTCATAGGGAACAGAACATTAAAACCTCCTCTAATGCCGTGGTAGCCCCCGCAGCGATCAAATAAACAAATACGATTCCCCCTTCAATATTATGATTATTTTCTGCGCTGCTTCTTTGGGTAAGATAAGGCCCGACCCCACACTTGAAGAAATTGAGGGCCAAGAAAAGGCACGAGAGGAGGAAGGAACTCTGGTCTGGGGTTTTCACGAATTTCAGTGTAATTCAGCGAGAGATTTTTCTGCTGCTATGGCAATTCTTCCGCTCGGGGATCATCAGCTCAGTGCCGCCAGGGTTTTGTTTCTACGAATTTGTCACGCTTTGGATTTCAGATTGTGTTGATGTTGGCCAACTGTGTTAATGGATCCAGCAGCATACATACATACCCCAGATATGTACATATGTATGTATCTGTATGTATTGTAGTGCTTTCCCTTGTTCTGAAATGATTTGAGGCGTAAGTAAAAGGCATTTAACGCTTGATTTTGCCAAGAGTTTAATTTTACCTGCTTAGGCCGCCTGATCCTATACGATCCCATCCGATCCGATCCGAACAGCGCCTCCAACTCCTGCCGCTGCTGCTCCTGGTCCTACTTCTGTCCAGAAGGATCCTTTTTGCGACTATTGTTGGGCATTCTTTTTTTTGTTGCTTTGCTTTTGGTCTCCGCCCGCACAAAGGACACGACACAGAGACATGTGAGAGCCATCCATTCAAGTAGGGGCGGAAATTTAATCTGAAATGCAGTTTTTGTTGTTGCTGTTGTCTGCTATTGAAATATGAGATTTTTAGGGCTTTACGACGGCTTTGTTTGTCGTCTACGTTTACCTACCTGTTGAAATGCTTTGGATTTTTTTTTTGGCGGGAATTTTATTTTAATAAAGATTTTTCATGTACTGCTGAAACTTTATATTCCTCTGCTCTTTATATGCATATCCTGTAGGACAAGACTACAGTACTACTCGGAATACCATAGAGATTGCCCGTAGGACGGGAAGGTGTCAACGTTTTACATTTTGAACAAACATTGCACTTGTCCCGGCCTATGGGCGGCTTGTCATACACATCGATCGTACAACTAGCAACAAAAATTATTCATATAAATTAATAAATGGAAAAAACTGTCTTTTTACTCAACAAAAATTTTCTTTGATTGCAGCTTTCACATATGCTAAATTCAAACGAGGAAAGCGTGAAAATTGGGTGAGCTAACGTTATTTAAGTGTAGAAAATACATTTCGTTGACATTTAAAAATTCTCAAATGCGCGGGCACTCTTGAATCCAGGCTGCCACATCGTAAAAATATGACTGACATCTTTTCGAGTATTTTTCGGTATTTTTTGGTATATTTAAAAATTACAAAATAATCAATAAAACAATCAATATCGATAATTTTATAATCGTCGATATAAAATCGTTGGTATTAATTTTTAATCAATAACACAATCAATATCGATAATTTTATAATCGTCGATATAAAATCGTTTGTATTAATTTTTAATCAATAACACAATCAATATCGATAATTTTATAATCGTCGATATAAAACCAATGAAATAAATGATTAATGTGTTAACCAGTGCTAAAATCAACGAAAGCCTTGAATAATATCGAATAAACTAAACTAATCGAATAATAAAAACCTCTATGGTAAAAACTATTATTTCTGAGCGTGGCAGTTTTTGTCAATCACGATCGAGCCAGTCAAGACACGGTGGCATCTCTGCCTAGAGATGCCTATCTGCTGGGTGATTGTGTGTGTGTGTGTATTTGTGAGTGTGTGTGGCTTGTCTCTCTCTCCGTTCGTTTTCTCCATAAAATAAAAACAAAAATAAAAATAAACTTGAATGTCAAAATATTCTTCATGAAACGAGCTGTGACGATGCTATCGATAGTACTATCGATGTTTGCAGCTGTACCTCCTCTTCATTCGTTATTCATAAAATATAAAAACAAATTCACTTAAAAAATATTCTCGCTGCGACTGGTTGTGTGTGAGTGAGTGGAAGGTAGCGTAAAGAGTGGCAGATGCAGAGAGAGAGGGAGAGAGCAAGAGCGTGAGACCGGACCAGAGCGTTGGTTTTTATTTTGTTTGCTTCCTTCCACGCCTCTGACCGCCGCCACAGCCGACGGTTGCGCAGCCATTCCTTAATTAATTTATTTACGTTCGTATTGATTTTTTAAAGTAACAACAATTTGAATATATTATAGAGAGAGAAAAGAGCGCGCGCTTACACACACACACACATAGCGTACATAAAAATAAATATATGGGAAAATCGTTCGAGGTTCGAGGTGAGTACAAATCTATAAAAATAAATTAAGAAGAAATATAATTAAAACGTAAACAGTGCGAGGAATGTTCGGCCGAAAATTATGTGTGGCTCATTAAGTATTTATTTTAATTATAGTTTTTTTTTTTGTTTATTTTACTTTGTGTTTTATATTTTTCCGTAATTTGTTGATTTAAAGTTTGCCTTCTTTATACAAAAAAAATTCCATTTAATGCGGCTGGCTTTGCAGTTGCAAAGCAAAGTCGCCGTCTCCGCCAGCAGCATTTCCGTTGAATTTTTCTTGTTGTTTTTTTTTTGTGTTTGATATTTTTTACGGTATTCATTCGCTGGCTGTGTTTTTATTGCTGTTGCTGCGGCTGCGGTCTCTGCTGCTAGTGCTGCTACTGCGCTGTTTATTATACTGCCACTGCGCTGCTGCCGTTTTCGTTATCATACAACTTTGTTTTTACTTTTTTCTTTTTATTTTACTGTTTGCATTATAAAAAAAGCCAAAGTTTGGAAAACTAATGAAATTATAGTTAACTTTTAATATAGGGATAAAGCTTGATCTTCCCTTCTTGGAATTTGTACTTTCTTTATTCCTATTCCTTCTCCTATTTGTTGTTTTTTTTTCATTAATAAAGTAGTTGGAGCAGATCCAGTTTTAATTGTACTGCGGGCACTTTTAGTTCTAAAATTCAAAAAAAAAATTAAGAATTAATTGAAAATATTAAATTATAATTTATAGAAAATTAAACCCTCATTGTCATGTATATGGATCAAATGAACATCAAAATGGAAGAACTTTCGCAGGTGCCAATGGATCACGTCTTGAAGCTTCCAGCTTTGGCGCCAAAGGGTCGTGGACGGCCTCGCGCCTCGTATGCCCAGACGGGGGAATTCGATGTTGGCCTAATCCGTGAGTTTCGCTCTCGGCCTGTCCTGTACGACCGCTCGTCCAAACGCTACAAGGACAAACCGTACGTGGCCCAACAATGGCTGCAAATCTCGCACAAGCTCGGCTACGATGGTGAGGAGGAGGACTCCAGTGATCGCTGCGAACAAAGACTAATATCGGTTTGTAATTCCCTTAGTTTCCGTTCTGAAGGAGCGTATGCTGAACTTGCGGAACCGCTACAACATTGAGAAGCGTCGCATCGAGAGTGGTGGCCTGAGCGCGCAGTACTCGCAATGGCCTCAGTTCGAGAGCCTTCACTTCCTGGCCAATCACATCCGTAGCCGACGCAGCTTTAAGAACACGTCCAAGGCAGGCGATGAGGCCTACGAGGCGGAGGGGGGCATGAGCGACAGTAATGGGCAGGTTATGAGCATCAAGGATGAGATGGATGAGGATGAGTTTGACCACGAGCAAACGATGCCAGTGACCACAGTGCTGACGTGAGTGCCAAAATCCGATTCGAGCCCGAGAGCTCAGTGCTCACCCAGTCTGCCTTCTTTTAGCATTCCGATCACCTCATCGGATGATGGCAGCTATCCGACAAAGAGCTACCGGCAGTTGATGAGTGGCAACAATGCCACCAATGGCAGGAGCTACAGCTTACCGAGCCGCCAGCAGGAGCTTGTCATCAGTAAAGTCACCGCAGCCGCCAAGCGTCAAGCTCCCGAAGAGAAGGAAGTCGAGCAAGTGGAGGAGGAGCCAACAGCCAAGCGGAGAGCAGATGAGTCGAGAACCTACCCCCCGACAGTGCCTACACCCCCTGAATTATCAGCATCCACGACTTCCAATGCGTATGCGAAGTTCCATGGCTTCGGCGAGTTCATGGCCCACTCCCTCTCCGAATTGCCGCTACCTACTGCCTTGCTTTTGGTACAGAAGTTCACCCGCGAGCTGGTTCAAAGCACGATCGGTAGTCAGAAGGTGATTCCCACGGAAGAGGCCGTTCATTGCAGTGAATCAGAAGTCGAAGACTAGAATTAGTATTACTTTTGTTTTTAAATACGGGCTGTAGCTAATCAGATACCCTTCGAAGAAAAGTGCACAAGTGGGTTACTACAAGAGCGAAGCCCTATTTAACATAATACTTCCAAGACACACACTTGGTGGAGCCGAACTATACTTGTAATGTGCAAATATGTTACGCTATTGATAAATATATATAAAATATATAGACTTTTATAAACGACGACAGTTGGTCCCAGGAGCAAGAATTCTGTCACTGATGGTAAAGGTGGGTTGTTCGATCGACGAGAATTCGACTGTGGATAATGTTGGATGTTTGTTCGATCTTCGAATCCAATGACATGGAACAATTTATATTCCGACAAACAAATTCGCCTGGATACTAACCTTATTATCTAAAGATAAAGACTTCATTCAAGAGAGGCAAAAGAGCGCTTGACAACGGTTTGAAAAAATGCGCGTACTATCGATAGAACCATCGATACCACATTGTCCAGCACTGTGACCCCGCGCCAATCTACAGTTATTTCAAAAAAGTGTTTGGACTCAGGACTCCCGCAGCTGACGGGAAGACAGTTAATGTTCCCAAAAATGAATCATCATAAAATTTAGAAAAATATTTCAGGCAAAGTCCTGAAACGCACATTGTGAACCGAAATTTTTATATTATTTCCTTGTAAATATATTCTTTAATTTATGTTGTATAAACTCTTCCACTTGTAGGCTTTTCTAAAGAAAGATGTTGGCCAGTTCTACTCTGTTTTCAACCTAGAGGAGACAAAATTTTGGGTAAGAAATTGACTCTAGTACTCGACTGATACGAACCTGAGCAAGCTGCTGCCCACCTAATGCACCTATGGTAAAGTTGCATGGCCAGGCATAAATGTAGGATGTGTGATTGATGTAATGCGCGGTGCAACGCCTCATCAACGCTGTTATTATCAGCGGACTTGTTATTAAAGGAATGTACAGACATGCGAGATGCAAACTAGAAGATGGCATTGGTCATGGGAATGCCATGGGAAGAACGGCGCGATCAGAGCTATACCCGATTGAAGTATGAGCAGTGCAGTCCGGTGGACGACACTCCTCTATTTGGACACGCTGGGTGGTGGCCCCAAGGTGCTATCTCCTCGCCTCTGCCGCTCCTTCTGCCATCGCCTCCAGCTACTCGTCTAGTTTTCCACGTCTTTTTATTAATGTGTCTATATTTCTTAATTAAATTACAGCCTCTCCCATAGGTGCTATGCGGTTATAATTACAGTGTTTATATGGCATTTGGACATTCTTCTTGGACCCCTGCTGTTGGTGCTGCTGCTGCCGGTGCCTCTTATTGATATTGCCCACTGAAAGTGCCACAAATGCGGAGAAAGACAGAGAGAGAAAGGAGTGGAGTGGAGTGGAGTGGAGTGCAGTACAGTTGGAGCATTAAAACGTCACCTGATGTAGGCCGTGCCCAGTGCTTATTTGTCGTTGTTTGAAAATACAAATTGCACTAGTCCCGGCCTGCAGAGAGTGTCGCACACAACGAGCTTTTGCTTCAACGTTAACCCAAAATGTGGCTTGGTCATGGCAATGGAATGGTCTCTCTCTCTCTCTCGCATTTTGCGTGCTGCTGTTCGTCAAAGTCAAGACCGTCTTCGCATCTCATGTCTGTCTCTGACCCTGTAATTATATAATTTAATCAAATTACTTGCATATGTTGCCGAAAAACAGACCAAAAAACAGGCCGGAGTAAGACTTGAGAAATCGGCAAACGCGGGGCAACATAAGTGGCAACAACAAAAATAAAAATAATTGCGCTTCTCGGCGGCAGCTCCTTGGCCTCGAGTGGCGGCGGGCATGGCACCCAAAATGGTTTATAGCTGCACTTGGCCGGCATTTTTGACAGTGAAATGTGTCTGTGTGCGTGGCCAAAAGAAAGATATTTGCGTATTTTAGCATTCATCATCATTACTCTTCCGCTGCGGCTCTGGCTACGGCTGCGGCTGCGGCTTTGCGGTGGCTGTTGCATTTTGAAGCATTTTTAGGCGCAACTTAGCCTGACAGCCGGTTTGACAGTTGCAAATTACCGTCAACCGCAGCGCAGTTGATGGCCAAAAGCTGGCTGCTGCAACAGGAAGTTGCGGTCGGTAAAAACACGCGAGAATCGTCGTTTTATTAACTAAAATGTGCTCCTTCTGCTAAAAGGAAGCGTAAATATTCAAATGAGACAGTCGGAAATTGGTCGATCAATTATTTTATTTATTTCTTCCACAATTTTCAAAGAGCAGAATGCAAGTAAAAAAAAAAATGCCCGTGGTTGATCGCTCTCCATCTCTCTATGTGGATTGTATTTATAGTGATTTTAGTTGAATTTTAGTTATTATTTTCTATCCTTTAATTGGCCGACAAAAATCCCCCAACTGAACCCTCTTCGAGGGTGTCGGCTAGGCAACAGACCTCCAGTTTTCTGTGTGCTGGACACACAGAAAGGGTCTGGCTAAGTCCATCCTGCCACGAATCTGTGTTAGCATCCACCGCATACAATGGTGCGGCATAGTGTAGTGCGGGGTGGGCATGGTTGGTGGTCCCCCAAAGCCAGGGTGTTATGCGACCCGTGCCCATTGGCTTGGTTTGCAGTCAGGGGGAAATAACCGGACTGTATCCACGCGGAGCCTCAGCGATACCTGTCCGACTCGTTGAGTACTTCAGGACTTGCCGTGTTAGCGGGGGCTATGACACGGTGGACCTCTTCACCCCTACACTCGTGGGAATTTCTATGTCAAATCAAAATATAAAAACAAATATTATAATAAAGCAAGAAGTAGAAGATAAAGAAGAGGCGGCTCTGAAGATCAACCGAGCTGCACAACCTGGTGGTGTCGGCGATCCACTTACGAAGGGTCTAAAGAAAAAGGCACGCAAACGTTACAACCGTTACCTAAGGGAGGGAATGCTACCGAAAGAAGCGAGGGTGCGGGCCATAAACCCCAATGGCTATCAAAAGGCCGCGGCTAAAAACAAGACAACTGTGGCTCCTCCTGCTATGAAAGGCGGCCTCAAGCGGAAAATTCCAAGCCAGGCGACCACTGTTGCCCCAAAACGAGCCAAAAAAGCACGAGAGGGTCGTGGACCCATTGATATGGCCATCCTGGCCACTAGATACCCGCTAAGACTCCTCACCAAAAATGAGGCGACGATAGTGGAGAAAGAGTTGGTCGATGAGATGCTGAAAGGCAGCTCCCACAGCATTAACTTTGATGGCATCCACTTCAAGACTGGCCTGATCATTGTGAAATGCCGCGACGACAGATCCAAGCAGTGGCTGGAGCTGACGGTCCCAAAGGTCTGTGGGATCGGCAAGGTGCAGCTCCGCACCTGCCCAATGGATGATCTTCCCAGCATGAAGATAGTCACAATAGAGATACCGGACGCCGCAGAACAGAAGGTGCAGGCTGCAGTCCGTCTGCTACGAAAGCAGAACAGCGACCTGGACTCCGACGCATGGATCCTGCTGAAGTGCAGCAACACCAAAGGAGGGGGAAGATCGATCACCCTTGGTCTGCAGCAACAGGCGCTCGAGCTGCTGCAGAAGAACGGCATGAAAATGAGCTACCGCTTTAGACAGCTACCATGTCGTCTAGAAGCGGATCATTCCGGCGATGGAGATGACGGGGAGAATGCTATGTGGTATGTGGATATACCGAAAATAAGCGATAATTAAGATAAAGATTACAAGTCCACGTTACGCTATACTTTTCTATAAAATAAAGAGGAAAATACTCCATTGAAAATACACATTTTCTATGATGTATATGTATTTTGTATATTTAAATTTAATTGGAGTTTTAATCTTGTTTAAATTAACTAAGCTTAAACACTTAAATAAACGCTCGAGCGCAATTTAATTGTAATTTTACTGTAATGTAATGCAATCACCGTCAAGAGGGAGGGGTTTAGGGTTTAGGGCTTTATTCATCGTTTTATCGTTACGTTTTTGCTTTGTAATTCGAATTAAAATCACCATCGAAAACTGTGGCTCCAATTTTGATTATTCCAACCGATCGGCTCTCCTTATTTTATAATATTATAATAGAATATTTGAATAAACAACGAGAAGAGACGAGAGAGACGACACACAGTACAGTAGACGACGACATCTATGGGCTACAGCTAGTAATTGTAATAAAAGTCTAAAGAGCAGTAGAGTTAGGAGTAGGCCAACAAAGACAAAGAGATCATTAACCACAACGTCAACGGCGGACCACCGTCACAACTCGTACGTAATGTTGTTCATATGGTCGCGTGTCTTGCGCGGCTTGAACGGTGCCGCAAAATGCTCGTAGGCATTCTCCGCATTGTACGACGAGCAGCGCCTCAGGCGATGGTGCTGCAAGGAACTGCTATACGGAGCATTCCCGTTCCCTGCACCACCACCGCCAGCCCCAAAGCAACGCATGGCAGCGCACAGTAGGCTGCACCAGCGCCAGGACGAGGAGAACGTATAGAAGTGATGGCCACCACCGCCGTTGCCGTTGCCATTCCCCTTGGACAGCAAATGCTGGCGACTGTGATGCAAGTACTGATTGTAGTTGGAGCGAAAGCTGCTGCTGTCGCTGCTGTGGCCGCTGTCTCCGCTATTGCTGCTGTCGCTACGCCGCAGGCCCAAACGAAACAGATTCCCATTGTTGTGGGCGGCATTGGCAAAATCCTCATAATCCAAATGCGATTCGTACTCAAAGTCGCGATCAATGGAGACGGCGGGTGTGATGATCATAAATTGACTATATTTTGGGCTGCGCTGTGGCTGCTGCTGCTGTTGTCTCAGACGATTGCCACGCTGCTGGTTGGCCAACGAATTGAGCAGCGTCTGATTGGTGTCCACCGAGGAGTAACTGTTGCTGTTCGAGATGGGCGACATATCATTGTTATTGTTGTTGCTGTTGCTGCTGTTTGTATTGCTAGCATTATTATTGTTGCTAGTGTTGTGCGTAAAGACGCCAGCGGGCGCCGGCTGGGTGGTGGTCACTCCCATCGAGGAGTGTTGCTGCTTCTGCTGTTGGGGCTGGTAGTGCTGGTATTGCAATTGAAGGGTCTGCTTGGCATGCCTGGGCCGTCTCTTGGCAACTGGAGCTGAGGTCTGCTGTTGTTGTGGTTGTGGTGGTGCAGGAGGTGGTGGTGCTGCTGCCACTGGTGGCATTGGCAGCTGTGGTGGCTGCTGTTGCTGCAATGCTGGTGACGTTGTTGTAGGCGTGGAGCCAACAGAGGGCATCCATCATCTTGTTTCCTCCGTCCCACTATTGCTGTCATCGGGCTTGACGATTTGGTAGGTTATCAAGTACTCTGGATAAGACTACGGGAAAAGAAGTAAATTAAAGCATGGTTTCCATTTAATTGGAGTCTGCACTATTCCTTACCTGTTCACCCCGATAGACCACATATTCGGCGTAATGCAGGCCCCCTGCTGAGGGACGTCCCACCACCGAATGATGGCCTGGTGGGGCATGAGCCATCTTCATGGCACTATATTGCAAAAAGGACTTGCCCAAAGCCACGCGACACAGCAGCAGTTGTCTGGAAAACGTATAGAGTTTTTTTATAGATAAAAGGAAGAAAGTTTAAAGAGATTTAATCACTCACCTGGGACACACATAGCAGGACTTGTCCTTGTGCGAGGGACAACCAATGCCACCGCCAATGCCATACACATACTGATTACTCTTCGAGCTATGCTCTGCGAAATAAATGCCCGCACCAAACATTCCACCAATATACGCATGACGCTCATCAAAGCCCCGCTGGACAATTGCATTGATGAAGGGGCTGCCGTGGAAGAGCATGCGCTCGTTGGACTGCACAAAGTTCTCCTCGGCAATCTCATGTCGTCGATGGGCATAGCGCTCCCACAGCTTACGATTCTGGACCTTTTGCACCTGAAACAAATGGGGAAGAAAAAGAGTTGACAAATACGCACCGAAAATCGTTTGAAGACAGACATACCCTTATAATGTTGTAGCGCGTAAAGTAGCCGCCCGACTGGCCATTGTCCCGATGCTCGCGTATTGTGGCTTGCATCTCCTCCTCGACGGCCACAAACTCCTTGTCGTCCGGCAGTAAATCCACCAGCAATGTGCACAGATTAACATTGTTTCCAATGCCTAAAAGGGATTACAAATGGAATTAATCATATAAAGAGAGAGGAGATTGTGATCCTTACCTGTGGTGGCTCTTAGCTGGGCAATCCCCTTGAGTATCTTATGCCGGAATCCATAGGCGGAAACCCCCACCTGCTTGAGATCATCGTGTCCCATCTCCGCCAGTATGTCTAGCGTGATTTGTTCGCGTTCAAACAGCTCGATCAAATGATTCAACTGCTGGCTGCTCAAGAAACCCGAGACATTCGTAATCGACTCTGCGTCTGGTATTAGATCCTCCGTGGCGGAGGACTCAGCGCCATTGGCTTCGGCGCCCTGGGCGGGACTGATGCGCGTACAACTGGCCAGCGGCAGGGGCACAGGCACACTGAGGGTCATTGAGGCACCTGTTGGCAGCAAAACAGTCTCTGTCGTTGGTGAGAGCATACCCGAGGAGGAGGCGCCTGTGGATGCCACAGCAGCTGGTGAAGCAGCCGCAGCAGCACATCCTCCTGCCTCCGGCGAGGGGGAACACCCAGCCAGCGATAGCGTGGAAGCGCTGAGTCCCTGCTGACTGAGCGACGTAGCCATGGCATCCTGCAGCAGACACTTGACATCCTCGGCGGTGGCCAGCTCTATGGGGGTTTGTCCCTCCTGGTTCTTCATATAGGCATCGGCGCCATGGGCCAGCAGCAGGGAGCACAGCTGCGTTCGTCCCTTCTGGGCGGCCTCGTGCAACGGCGTAAAGCCCCACTTGTCGGTGGCATTCACCACTGTCTTGTGCTTGATCAGCAAGGCAGCAATGTCCAGATGTCCGTAGGAGCTGGCATTGTGCAGGGGTATCAGTCCACCCTTGTCCTGGGCATTCACATCGGCCCCATTCTCCAGCAGATACTCGGCGCACTCGAAATTATTGTAGCCAGCGGCGAGATGCAGTGGCGTCGAGTTCCTGCCCTGGGCATCGCGACAGTTGATCGTCTCGGCTGTGACCAGTCGCTGGACACGCGCCAGATTTCCCTTTTTGGCGGCATCCAGCAGAGCGGATGGGCCGCGCAGCAGTTCGGCCACGTCGTGATCGGATTCCTTCACAAGATCCGCGGGGGTGGCGCCGTCACGGTTCTTTTTCATGGGATCTGCGCCGTGCTTTAACAGCAGCTTGCAAATGTCGTACTTCCCTTTGGCGGCGGCCTCGTGGAGCGGCGTAAACTTCCACAGATCGGAGACATTCACATTCGCCCCGTGCTTGACCAGCAGCTCGGTGACTTCGTAATGGCCATAGGAGCAGGCATTGTGGAGGGGCACCAGGCCGCCTTTATCCGCGGCATACACCTCGGCCCCGTGTTCCAGCAGAAACTGTACGACAGGCACGCGGTTGAAGCCTGCAGCAAAGTGCAGAGGAGTTGAATGCCTGCCGTCTAGATCACGGCAATTGACAGTGTGAGGATTATTCAGGACAATCCGGCGCACAGTATCCAGATCCCCGGCCTTGGCAGCATCCAGCAGATGCGTCTCGCTGTCCGGTGGATTCTGGAGCAGCTTCAGCACGCTGTCCGAGGCCAGCTGGGCGGCAGTGAGTCCCTCCAGCGAAACAATGTTCGTGTCCACCGCATAGGACAAGAGCAGTCGGACAGCCTGCTCGTCCCGGGCACAACGATGCAGCGGCGTCTGACCGAGACTGTCCAGTGCGTTCACCTTGGCCCCCTGCTTGAGCAGCGTTTCCATGGCATCGTAGTGCAGCAGCTCCGAGGCCATATGCAGTGGCGTGAGGAAGGCCTTGTTCTTCTCGTTGAGCAGGGCTCCCTTGCGCGCCAGCAGCTCCATTAGCTGCTTTCGCTTTCCATCCAGGCAGACCACGGCCAGATGGAGCGGCGTATCACCCGTATACGGATGCACAAAGTTGACGATTTCGGCGCAAACGAGCTTTTTGGCACGCGACACATCGCATTTGCGGCAGGCATCCAACAGACAGTGGCCCTTGTATTCAACTGAAAGGACGATCAGGATTAGAATTAAGGGTTATCTTTTATCCGAGTAATACTCACAGGCAATCCTTTCACGCAGCTCTCGCGTTGGTGCCGCATCCATGGCCGACTTGCTGTGGCAGTTGAGTAGCGTGGGATCAGCGCCGCGGCTCAGCAGGAGGCTGCACACCTCCACACGGCTCTTGGAGGCTGCCTCATGCAGCGGCGTAAAGGCCCACAGATCATTGGCATTCACATTGGCCCCCGCCTGGATGAGCAGCTTGGTCACATCGAAGTGTCCGTAGGAGCAGGCATTGTGCAGCGGCACCAGTCCACCCTTGTCCTTCGCATGCACATCGGCGCCGTTGGCCAGGAGGATTTCCACAATTCCAATGCGATTGTAGCCCGCCGCCAGATGCAGCGGCGTCGAGCGGCGCCCATCGCTGGCATGACAGTTGACATTCAGCGGCGTGAGCAGCGCCAGCAATCGGTCCTCGGCACCCGATCGGGCAGCCTCCAGGAGCTCGTCCTTGCGATACTCTCCGGTTAGGACCGGCCGCGTGGCATCGTCCGCCAGCTCCAGGGGCGTCTTCTGCTCCGAATTGCGTATCGTGTGATTCGCTCCGTGCTGCAGCAGGGCCAGGCACACGTCCACCTTCCCCTTGCTGGCCGCCTCATGCAGCGGCGTGTAGTTCCAGTTGTC